GGATCGGACATTCACTCGCACGGACACGTGCGCACATGCATGCGAGCCCACGCACGTGCCCCACTAGTCGCGGTTCCTAAATAGGCGCGCCACACAGTAGGTGATCTCAGTTCTCCTCACCCCTCGCTTGACAATCACTTATAAGCAACCGTCACATATCACACAACGACTTGCACAAGGACTGACAGAAACTTTCAGATACTGTCAGATGTGACTGGACGCAGTCTACGTTGGGCCAGGGCTTCGCCCTGCGGCCACATCAGTCCACTGGCTTTATGTTAGCGACACAACTGCCATCCGAGATAGCAACTCCGGGTTCTGTACTCAATAAACCCTCATTCGGGTGGCCTCCACTTTTACGCCCTTCTCATTGTTTTCTTTCTTGGGGATTTAAACAGGGCGTAATTAGACGGTGACACCACAGGTTGTCACCGTTACAACAAAAACGACCGGAGCTGGACTTAGGAGCAGTAATTGACAAGTATAAATAGTCTATCTACGCGTCTCACACACCACCCGGAAATGACTTTAACAAATCGTCGTAATTTCAAAGCTCTTCTGGTTTGTGACAGTCAGAAGCGCACTCGCTTTCCTGTGGGATGAACTTTCCAGGACACCAGTCGACTGTCCTAGCTGGTTGGTCATCTGGCAAATTGGCTAACATGATACGGGAGACGATAAACCCGTCCTGCCTGGCAGTCAGCTTACTGCGTCCGTATTGGTTGATTCCATACGTGCAGTAAAGCTGGGCAAGTAAAACGACCCAAGTGTGATTAAATTCACGGCGCACGGTGAGCCTCCAAGCTCAATATTAAGACGTTGGCTGCGCAAAAGCCTTCCCTGCTGCGTAGGTTCTACTCCCACCGAGGCCGCTAATTTTTCACAATTGGGTCAACTGAATAAAAGATTCCTTTGACCAGATTTAAACTTTAAAAGAGAAACCATTCCCTACACGAGGAGAATAAAAAACAACTTTTTACACATACTGTGCATAAAAGATAGTTGGATTTATGCATGCATCGAACCTTGGTATTTTCAGCCAGTGTGATTATCAAAGACTAAAGAATCATATGTCACTACATCGTTCTGCTTCAAAAAACTTAATAAATTGCATTTATTACATTTTTTGCTTTTAGCGGACAGTGTCTTCGACATGTCGGAATCGGCATGCATCGTTCAAGCACTAGTAAGATTGAATATAAGGAATTGATCTACGCCCGGACCAAGTGCAGATAAGAACTTTGTTGCTTGTCGCACCTAGTTCACTGTAGATGGAAAAATAAAATTCCATGTTGAAACACCAAATTGTGCTTTTCATACTGACTTCTTGCCACAAATTATAAAATAGGCTGTGAGGTATTCTACTGGGTCAGTTTTATCATGCCTAAGTCGGAGCTTCCTTGTTGTATATCCTCGTGGTGCCTAATCGAGTTTGAAGCGAGCAAAATGGCGGCAAAATCAAGGTACTACTGAGTGCAATTCAGCCTTCAAACTGTGACCCCAGTCACGGCCACCTCCAGCTCTTCAGAAGAAAACCCCATCCTCAAATAAAATGTTCGCTCACCCACGAAAATAACGTGCCCCATATTTGCATTCTGAGGGGAGG